CGCGAGATCAGGATGGTCTCACGAGGCTAGGTAAACAAGACAGTTTGCCAGTGGAATGAGTATTTTTACTCTTAAAACAAGATAATTAGATAACATGCACTTGAAATAAGACAATGCAATTGTTTTTTCTTATTTTACGATTGGCAAAATGTCTCTTTTACCTCCTCAATTCAAGAACAAATGCACTTATTTTGAGAAAAAACAACTTATACAAATTTAGATTTTTCCCAGTGGATGGACCTGAGAATTAGATTGACGGTTGAAATGTATTCTAACAAACAGCACAGTTTTGGCATAATGTATATGAAATATAAGGAAATTTAAAAAGGAACAAACATGTGACAAATATCAGGTGTTCCTCAGGTATTTGCTCTTTCAGGAGTCAGGAGGTCTTTTCATTAAGTGAGCTTCCAGTGTTTGTTGTGAGCAGTGTGCAGAATAAGCCAAAGATAAACCTTTTTTCACACCTCTGTTTGCAGTCCTGCCTTTGGCTTAAACAGCTTTCAGCCAAACAATGGTGTTGCATTTAGAACCATACTTATCATACAAATGTTGTGTCTCATAATAATAAAATTTACCATTATTAATACAGTTCATAAGCTTTTTGTCCTGATTAAACAATCTGTGCAACTTTTTATATGGAGCTGCTAGACAATTTGTCCCTTTATCAGAGTGTATGCTGAGTTTTTTTAATTGCATATCCATCACAGTTGTAGACCAATCATTGCATACCAGCGGGATTTACTGAACATCATTTTATTTTTCAAAATTGAGTATATTTAGCTATGGAGGCAATTAAACAATAACTGATATATTACTTTAATTTAGCTTAATTATACACTGTTTTAAAGACTTTACAGCCTGTCTTCTCACTGCAAAAACGATCAAGAAATAAGTAAACATTTCTGAAATTAAGTGTATTTATTCTTATTTTAAGTAGGTAAATGAGATAGTTTGCCAATGGAATGAGTAATTTTACACTTAAAATAAGATAATTAGATAATATGCACTTGAAATAAGACAATGCAATTATGTTTTTTTCTAATTTTAAATGTAAATTGTCTTGTTCCATTGGCAAAATGTCTCTTTTACCTCCTCAATCCAAGAAAAAATGCACTACTTTTAAGAAAAAATTACTTATCCAGATTTCGATTTTTTCCAGTGCTTTCATTTTGATTTGATCGTCAGTTGAGAGCGTTGACTAACATGAAATATGAATAATGACCCCTGATCAAACCAAGAAAAGGCTGAGAGACTTTTTGAATTATAACCACATTTCCACTGAAAAGATAATGAGTGGGAATTAGAAAACCCTTTTAAATCACTAGTTTTGAAAGTGGGTACAAAATATCCCTCTAGCAGTTTCAAACTGTTGCACTGTTGGTATGAAAATCCTCTGGTAAATAACTTAATACTCAGACGTGAAACGACCGTAACATGGACGACGTTATGCCAAGCGTTCGTTCTGTCTGAATGCGGTGAATCTTCCTGTGGTTTATGTTATATTTAATTTCCCGCTTTGTTAGTTTTTGAGATTTGAGGGGAAAGCTTGTCTTTTACACACACCAATAAACTTTGTGGAATTCCTCTTTGAGTGGCGGTTTAAAGCGACTTGAAATCACAAAGTCTGCAGGGGGGGGGCATGCATGTGGAAAGATGCTGTCCATTAGCTGTCAACAATGACCAGTGGGTTTACCCTCCCATGGGACTAGTAACCAAGGCATCGTCTCATCCCGAGTCTGGCTTAGAGATCACACAGGCCCCATTGTCTCAAGAAGCCTGGAGTCTTATTGTAGAGGTGCCTCTGTGAAAGGACGAGCCTTCACGTCCGCGATCTGCTAAAGAAAGGCCTTTCTCCTGGCCAAGGCCTGGACAACTGTAAAGAGATGAACTTGGGGGAACACGGAGAGGGTATGGACTAGATTTGGAATGGGGCTCTCCCTCATCCAGGGTTGACCTCCCTTCTCCACCTCAGTTTAATAAAGCTCGGGCCTTGGTCATTATTTTGGGCAGATGGAGATGGGGGCACCCTGTGAAAGGAATTGGTGTCACTCCTGAGGAGAGGATGGTAGGGATGACAGAGAAGAAAAAGCAAATCAGAGAAAAGATCAAAAGCAGAAGCTCTCCTTTCACTCGCCTGAAAGCACTAAAGAGGATAAGGAGCGATCGGGCCTGGGGTCTCCTGTCCTCACTGGCAATTAGACTCAGCTGATGGAGAGAAAAGCATGAATGGCAGGGTTCAAGGCCCTCTCTAGGACTCCCACAACGGGAAGGAGTTTTTTCCCCAACGCCTCCTTTATCTTCTTTTCCTTTCAGAGTGTCAGAAATGCAGCTGAAATATCTCTCCAAAAAGACGGCACAATCCCCAATGCCAAACCCTAATCACGGTGGCTGATGAGATTGAGAGGGGGAGGGGGGGCGGTTGAGAAAAAAAACACATTCTTTTCACAATTCATCTTAACACTTTTATATGAAGGGGGGGCACAGTAGGTTTATATGTGCTAATTAAATTGTACAAATTAGGGTTTATACTTTCATGGAAGAAAGAAACACATTAAATCATCAGTGCAATGTTTAATTACCTGTATCTTATTGCTAAGAAAGAAATATTTAGAGCTGTAGAAAAGCTAAATACATAGAAAACCCATTAATAAGAATTTATTTTCATATACAGACAGTTCAAACTCAGATGTATTAAGCTAACTGAGTATTTTAGCACATATCCATCAGTAAGCCTACTCAAACATATCTGATACTGCAATTCTCAATGGGTGGCTTCGAGCTCTTTATCCGATATAAAATTAATTTTAAAAGGCTACAGCCACATCGACCTGTCCCTCAGGAACCTATTACCATCCTCTGCATATGCAGGAGTATCAAAAGGCTGTCGTTCAAACTCACATAGGTACCCAAGCCGTTTGATACAACTTTAACAGCTTGTCATGTGAGGCACATTGGGGATTTTCATTACACAGGTCATCGGAGAATGAAGAATTTCAGAAGATAGGAGTTCAGACTCATTACGTTGGAAAAAAGAAAGACTAAGTCAGTCATTTGTTTTATTTAGAGAAACATGACTCTAGCCGAGGTTGTCGCAGTAAAAAAGGGTCCAATACAAATATCAGACAAAATGGACAAAAGATCTTTGGGGGATTAGACACAAAGTTTACAGACTAGGCTGGTCTGCAGAGTCCTCCCTTTAGAGGTTTATTTAGGCTGAGCAGTGCAGACCCCAACCCATAATCCTCTTTCAGACACACCTGTAGAGGAGAGTATAAATATCCTGAGCTGAACAGAGCCAGACATCAAGCTTCAAGGAGTCTCTCCACAGCAGTTCTCTCTAGAAGCTCCTGAGTCTTTGAGTCGAACCCGAAGATGATTTCCTCCACCAGCCTCCTCCTGCTGCTCCTGCTCGGCCTCTCTCAGGCTTTTCCTGTTGAAGAGGAAGGACCCCAGGAAGAGGAAACCCAAGAAGGAGAAGACACTGTGGACTTGACCACCAGAATTTTGAGCGCCAACAACGGCTCCGAAGAAATGCTGCTGGGAGGAGACATACTGGTTCCCAAAGACAGGAACGCAATGAAGTGCTGGTACAACAGCTGCCAATGGGGAAAAGCCTCCAATGGCTATGTGGTGATTCCTTATGTAATTGGGAGGGAGTTCACCAGTTATGAAAGGGGGACCATCGAGGGCGCCATGAGGGCCTTCGCCA